ATAGATAGATAGATAGATAGATAGATAGATAGATAGATAGATAGATAGATAGATAGATAGATAGATAGATAGATAGATAGATAGATAGATAGATACACATATATGTTTATTTGTTTGTTTATTTCCAGGTCTTCTAGTCTGTTCAATTGGTCTTCAGGTCTGCTTTTATACTCAAACTGTTTTTGTTACTATGGCTCTGTAGTAGTTTGAAGTCTGGCATTTTGTGGAGGGTGGGGTTGGGGGGGGGAGCGGTGTGGATGTGGTTGTAAGTCCTGGAGCTTGAAATCAGAGCCTGGGCCCTGGGCACTGTCTCTGAGCTTTTTTGTTGTTTTGTTTTGTTTTTGTTTTTTGCTAAAGGCTACCATTCTACCACTTGAGCTATAGTTCCACTTCTGGGTTTTTTTAATGATAACTAGAGATAAGAGTCTCACAGATTTTCCTGTCTGTGATGGCTTTAAACCTTAATCTTCATATCTCAGCCTCCTTAATAGTTAAGATTACAGGTGTGAGCACCCAGTTTGCTTCTTTTTGTTTCAAAAAAATGTATATCTGTGTGAAGAATAATAACCTCCTTGTCACATAAAGTTTTCTTTTACTGCTTTTAAATTCTTTCAGCCTTTCATTTTGATGATAATGTACCCCAGTAAGGTGCACTTGAGGAAGTTCAATTATCATAGATCTGGGTTCCATATTTCTTTCAGAACTTGGGGAGAATTAGTCAAGCTTTTTATTAAATAAGCTTTTTATGATATTTTGCATCACGTTTCCTTTGAGAAAGCCTATAATATGAATTTACATAGTGGTGTCATATAAGCCCTGTACCCTTCATCACTCTCTACTTTTTTTCCCAGAGGATTTGCCTTCAAGCTACAGTCCTCTGCTCTACCAGCTGAACTATGGAAGGGAGCTTGCCTTCAAGCTCAAGGACTCTTTATTTCATTTGACCTAGTCTTCTCTTAAAGCTCTCAATTGCATTTCTATTTCATTCATTAAATTCTTTAATATTGTGCTTGGTTATTATATCTATCTGTATTGAATTTATCAGCCATATCATTATTTATTTTTCTGTTTTTAATAAATTTTCTTTTATTCAAGAAGTGTCCTTGACAAAGGATGAACAAATACAGCAATGGTGCTCACTGGACACTGTGTTGAAAATGAACTATACCACTTATGGATGAGGATGGGAGGGGAAAACCGGCAGAGAGCAAGGGAAAGGGTAACAAAGTCCAAAAAGTATACTCTACTTGACTTGCATAGCCCCTCTGTACATCACCATTATAAAGACAATTTTAAAAACTTTTTTGGAATAGAGTACACTGTAAAATTTTTAAACAAATATCCTTACAGTCACTATTTCATATTCCTTTTTTTAGACAACTCATAAATTTCTTTATTTGATGTCACTCAGTACAGAATTTCCCTTTGGTGATATGAAGTTTTCTTTACTTTTTATGTTTCTTATAAACTTGTTATCTGCACATCTTTTTCCTATTGTGAAAATACTGTACAGAGGGGTTACAATTACATGGGCAAGATAATGAGTACATTTCTTATCAAGCATTGTAGCCTCCTCCTTTGTTTCCCCTTCCCATCCCTTCCAAGCCTCCTCCCGCCCCAATCCTCTCCCCACCCCACCCCCACCAAAATGGTAAAGTTCGTTTTCGACATGACAACTTGTACTTCTCATTGTTGCAACAGGTCCACCTGAATCCTTATTTAAACAACTTGTTTTTCCCCTTCCCCTCCACAAATTATACCGACATCAAATACAGTGAAAGCAGGGGTTATACTGTGGGGGAGGGACATACAAAGCAACAAAGAAAAACAAATGCATGAAAGAAAAAAAACACTTAAATACATATCTTAGGGTTCATTTTCCTAACATCATTATCTGCACATCTTATGAAACAGTTGCCTCCTCCAAATTTTTCATAGGGAAATAACTCTTAAATGTATGTTGGTCTTAGGATGCTGGTGGCAAAGAGTGTGTTCTGGTTCAGAACAGAAACGGTACTGTAGTTTGGGAAGCTACTTTAAATGTGTTCAGTGTCAATGGTGACCTATGAGTGCTTCGGTGCCTCTGCTATGGGAGTCTGTAATAGCAATGGTGGCAGAGCAAATTGATAGGTTTCTTGATGGAATGGTTGCTAGAAGTCCCCTTATTGTCATTTTGCCCACAATAAGACAACTTAACAGAAGCCTGTTAATGTCAGGTTGACCGCTCCCACAGGCAGCCTGGCTCTATGTGTTCTATGGCACAAGTTTTCACAGTGTCTATGGAGCTCAGATTCTTGGCAATGTCTCACTGACCTCCTGTCATCTATGACACAGATACAAGAAGGTTAATCACTGAAGCATGAGAGATGCAGGTTTTCCACCTAGACTGGAACCAGAAGCACTTCTTAGTATTTCAGTGTGGATAAGGGACTTAACTGTGGCTTGGAATGCCTCTGGAAAAGAAGGGGCATTTCAATGGCTTTGGCTTCAAGAAGAAGGCCACAGTTGTAATTCAGACCCAAGAGCCAACATGACACAACTTGAGCACCAAAAGAAGCATCATGGAAAATTAAAAAAAAAAAAGAAGTATCATGTAGATATTTAGAAATGATGGAAACTGTAATGATCTAGTCCCTGTGAAGCTGAATGATGCAGTAGTATTCAGGTATGGTGAGATGTAGCTGTAGAATCAACCCTGGGGGTTGGTGGGGAAGGAGGGAGAGGGGGACAGAGGGGAGGTGTCAGGAAATGCTGGCATGATAGTTCCATTACTCAGGGAGACAGAAAGCCCATCAAACTCTGGAGAACTAGTCCAGTCACAAAGATTCTGGGCTTTCAGAGTAGCTACATAAGTCTCTTTTTTTCTATTGGAAAAGATGCCACATCAGTTGAGGTATCTGGGGATAAAGTTTGTCTGCAGAGCTCTGAGGAGCCCAGTGACAGGGCAAAGAAGCATCTGGTATGGGACAACTGAATACTTTCTAAGTAATTTGTTCCCGCATGGCAGACAGCTATAGCACCTAATGGAGCTATGCCATACTACAATCTATGAGTGTGGTTCAGGGATGGTGGGACTATGTAAATAACACAGAGTACACACACTAGCTCTGGTTTCAAGATGGCACAGGGCAGTAACAGCTCAGATGTGGAGACCTTGGTTTATGGACTGTGAGGATTACAGAATTACTCAGTATCAAATACTGCAGCGTCACTGTAGTCATAGGAAGCCCACATCTTATCTTTTTTCCTTCAAGAAGTTACTCTTGGCTCTGAACTTACTCAACTTAGGAGGACAAGATTGGCAGAAGCAAGGTGGTTCCTCCTGGATTCAGAATTCAGTGGTTTGAATGTCTGTGCTCCACAAGGTTCTAGCTCTTTCTTATTGCATTATGGTAATGCCCTTTTGTAACTCAGTTTGAAATGTTGTTTACTCAATTTCCTTAATCCTTTTCTTAAGCAGTAACAAGCTTTAAGCAACTCCACCTGTCCATCTCACTGATATCATTATATTTCTTTTTACACTTATTATGTTTTGATTTTAGATCATAGTTTTATATTTTTATAGGTCATATATTTTACTGTCAACAGAGCATTTAGCTATTCTCTTGGATCTAGTCTTTTGTCATCTAATGCTTTGTGCGTTTTTGTTACTATTTGTTATTAAGAGTGTATTGCTGGTGCCGGGAATGTTGCTTAGTGGTAGAATGCTTGCCTTGCATGCATGAAGCCCTGGGTTCGATTCCTCAGCACCAGATAAACAGAAAATTGGTGCTGTGGCTTGAGTGGCAGAGGGCTAGCCTTGAGCAAAAGAAGCTCAGAGACAGTGCTCAGGCTCTGAGTTCAAGCCCCTAGACTGGCATCTAGATACACAGACAGACAGACAGACAGACAGACAGACAGACAGACAGACAGATAGATAGATAGATAGATAGATAGATAGACAGATAGATAGACAGACAGACAGACAGACAGACAGATATAAAGGGTGTATTGCAGTCTTGGTGGTCATTAAATTTTTATCTGATATGCACAATAAATAATGCTAGAAAACAATATTTAAGGACAAGCATTACTTAAAAGTGCATGCATTAACTTACAAAACTAGCCAGGCACCAGTGGTTTATGTAATCCCACTTACTGATGAGGCTAGTTGTAAGGACTGTAGTTCAATGCCAGCCTGGGGAGAAAAGTCCAAGGGACTCTTCTGTCCAATTAAACATCAAAGAGCCAGACATAGAGCTATGGCTCAAGCCCTAGAGTATTACCCTTGAGCACAAAAGTTCAAGGACTGTGTCCAGGCCCTGAGGTCAAGCCTCAGAACTGGCTAAAACAAAAACAAAAACAAAAACGTAAAGTATATTTAAAGGTTACTATCTTCCTAGAAGAAAAAATGTGATTTTCAAATATATCTTACTAAAACAAGATAATGTTTCCAACTTTTTTCTTAGCATTATACATACATAAGAAATTGATATGCTTTCTACCAACCGATTCAGGGCCACAGTCACATTCCTCTCCACCCTCCACTACTCCATTGCCACATTTTCCACCCAATGCTGGACTTTGCCTTTCAACAAGGTTTTTCTCAAGACACTGTAGCCTGTCCTCAGATGCAAAGAATTTGAACTCATCCAAGCTACAAGTGCTGAACTCCTTGATACCCCCGTAGTTCCTGAAACAAGACAAAAAAAAAATTTTGCCCTCATTTGATGTTTGTATGAAAGATTTCAATAACATTACGCTTTGTGGAAAAACAATAAACACTCTAATAACACTTTAATAACATTTTAATAGTTTTATAACTCCACTAAGAAAAATGAAAAAATAATGTATTTTAAATTTCTTTTATGTAATATGTTTATGCAAGACCAAGTACAGAAAAATCTCTCCATACCTGTAAAGGATTAGTTTCAAGGTCCCAGGTGCACTCCAATCCTAGATATCCCCCAGATATGCAAATCCACAGATACTCAAGTTTCTCTCTCTCTCTCTCTCTCTCTCTGTATATATATATATATATATATATATATATATACATATATATAATATGTATTACATATTATATATATATAAATACTATATGCTAGAGTGTTAGCCTTGAGCACAAAAGTTCAGGGACAGTGTCCAGGCACTGAGTTCCCCAGGATTGGCAAAAACAAATACATAGATATGTGTTTACATGTATATATATTTATACATGTATATACATATATGCATGTATTTATACATGTATTTGCATATATGTATATAAACACATATATTTGAGTGAGTATATATACACAAATATTGTGTCATATAATATACCGATATGGATATATTATACATATCCATATACATTATATATACACATATACATAATATGGATATATTATATACCATTTTATGACTATATTAAACTTCTATATATGTATATATAAATACATATGAATAATTTATAGTATTATATCAAATTTCCCTACATGCCACACACACATTCACAAACACACTCTCCCACAAGCATACATACCTCCAGCTAGCCACAATAAAGCTTAAAATGGAGCTTTGGCTCAGGTGGAAGAGCACCAGCTTTGAGTGAAGTAGCAAAGGACAGCTTATAGGCCCTGAGTTTAAGCTCTAGTAACAGCATAAAAAATAAGAAAAAAATTTAAATTGTTTAAAATAACAAGACAAACCTATGTATGTATTTGATAATGGAAAGGGTCTTACACAGCTTTGGGCATCATTGTACAAACACCTCTTGGACAATAGCAGGCCTGGGATGTATCCAAACTTAATCCCAGACCAAGGCTCAGCACTTGCACAAAAATGATGGTATACGACTCTAAGGAGAACCCATCTGGATACTAAAATATGAATTAAAAAGAAAGAAAAGGATAATCAGTCGAAAAATATTGATTGAAAAGCATATATATATATATATATATATATGAAACCTCATAAAAATTTTAAGGGAATGAAAGATACCAATGTGGTGGCAATTATAGACTTGTATAAATGCTTTGATAATAGGCTCCACACTTCAAAATACTTAGGAAATTCTGAAATAGGAACTAGTGAGATGAAACTCAATAATGTCTGATTACATACCACAGCAATTCCTACATCGTAATTCTCATCACATATTTTTCCTGGAAATACAGCACCTGCTTGAATAGGATTTTTCTGAAAACTAAAATTAATAATTTTACAGATTAGACATTTTAAGGTAGTATTACTAATGATAATTATTTTCATAGCAGCAAGCATAGTTTAACCATTATGAGGCAAATGCCATGCTAGTCTAAGGATAGTATTTAAATGCATTTATCTCAATACTTCAATTTTGCACATTTCAATAGTAAGAATATTTCAGTATATCAATGTTGAATTTGATAAACATCCAGTAATAAAAGGACAATATCTAGTACTTTATACAAATTCCCCTTCTACTAATAGTTACGGTTTTCATTCTATGTTCACATCCCTAAAATATTTTTCATGGCCTCCTTACTCATTAATTATCTAAAAGTAATTAGACTTTGGCACATGAGATTCTAGGTAGTCTGACAGTTTAACATATTTGTTTTATTACAAAATATAATATAACAATTAATTAGATAAGCAAGAATTTAGAGATTTGGTAACAGATAATACCAGTTTACAAATCCCAAAGAAATTATAACATTCACAATTAAGCTTTTAGCTACTTCAATTCCTATAATATGTTTTTCTCCAGTGTCATTGTTTTATCTTGTTTTAATTATAGTGAGAAGAGATACATATAGTCTACTTCTCAGTTTTTAAATGTACAATGCATTATTAGTAACTAAGCATAAATACTATACAGGGGATCTTTCGGAAAGTCAATGGTCTTTGATAAAATATTTTTATTAATTTTGTTTTGCATTAGTTCCTAATGAGGAACAAAGAATTCTAATTTAAGCTGAAACCGGTGCCTCACACCTGAAATTTTAGCTGCTCAGGAGACTGAGATCTGAGAACTAAAGTTCAAAACCAGCCTAGAAAGAAAAAATATCTGAGATTGTTTTTTCTCCACTTAATCAGCAAAAAGCTAGAAGTGGAGGAATGACTCATCAGCCTTGAGTGTAAAAGGTAAGGAACAGTGCCAAGGTTTTGAGTTCAAGCCCCAGTATCAGCACACACACAAAATTAGCTTGCTTATATGTTTAAATATCTGTCAAGTCATCAAATCTGCAAAGTACACAATTAGCATATATGTTATTTTGGAATATTCCTTGAGTGATATAAAGTCTAGAATATTATACTTACACAAATAAATATGATATATGAAGTGTTGGAGTGTCAAGATGATCATGATTCCATTTTAAAAAATCAAGTAACATCAGATCAACTCGTCCATCAGTTGGAATCTCATTATCATTAGACCAGATTTCAATAGAATTTATTACAACACTTAGTTTTAACTGGGCAAGCATCTGAAAAGCAAAGGTAAAGAAGAAATCTTAAGTGTATTTGAACATCATGTTAAACTTGTATCTATTGGGTTACAGAGAGTTTTCCAAGAGCATAGCAAAATACTATACACATATCATAGCCTATTATCTATGTATTTACAAAATACACAAAAAAGACTTTAAAAACTTACAGTGTTAGCAAGGCCAATGATCTGAATAACCTTCTGTGTTACAGTCTTTGTGTCAGAGCCCATGTAGTCAAACTGAAAAACATATTATTTTTTAAAAACTAGTGATATAATTAACCTACCATATCTCTTTAAACATACCATGGACTATATTTTAAGCATAGAATGATATTCCACTAGGAATATGGAAAATACCCACTGATATGACAATAATGACTTTACACAAAATATTTAATAATAGGATTCCAAATGATGTTTCATGTACTGGACACTGGGATCAATATGGCAACTAAGATGCTCTTGCCCTTTTGTCACCACAGACACACCTTAGGATTAGTGAGACTGAACCTACACTATCGAATCAGTGTTTCTGTTACACTCCATTCACCAGGAGCTCCAGTAATACATGTATTTAAGCCTTCATGCAACAAATGTAAGTTGAATAATCTCCTTGACCACAAGACTCACATAAACAAATTCAAAAGATTGAATCATAAAGTATATTTCCTCTCCATAATGAAAAAATAAAACTAAAGGGGAAGTGTGTAGTAGGAAAAAATATCCAAACACTTGGGAAACTAGACAGCACATTTCTTAATGCATGGACCAAAGAGAAGGTCTCCAAAGAAAGTTTCAAAAACACATTGAACAAAATAAATTAAAAGTGCAACATGAGAATTTGTAGACACTGCAATGCTGGGAAGGAAACTAATAGCATCAAATCTGTGCTTTCATTTATGACATGAAGATTTGTAATCACAACTTAGTTTAGGATATAGCTTGAAATGTAGTTTGAAATCTGTATACTACTCTATCATAATAAATAGCCTTGGGTGTAGTGTTGGATTTTTAAAATTCTGGTTATGTAATAGTGTTGAAATGTATTCTATGTGGCCACATCAATGTTTTAAATTAAAATGTTTTAATGTTTGAAGGACAAGGGGGAACCAATGCAACAACAATATTCACAAGACAATATGTTAGAAATGATCTGTATTAGGAGGGAAAATAGTCAAAAATGAGGGAAGGGGTAACAAGAAATGTACTCATTATCTTACTTATGCAACTGTAACTCCTCTGGACATCACCTTGATGACTAAAAATATATATTTTTAAAAAAATTTTAATGTCTGATGTGGCCAGCTCCCTTACTTCTTTTTTTATTCAGTGCTGCTTAATCTAATCTTATGTGTCTCTTTTTCACAAGAACTTCCTTTTATGCTGTACTAAGAATATTTAACATGTGATTTACTCTCTTTACAAAAACTTAAATGCACAGTATAATTTGGGGAGGGGAAGGGAAAAAACAAAATGTTTAAACAGGGATACAGGTTGACCTACTGTAACAATGAGATGTACAAGGCACTATGTTGAAAAACAAACTTTATAATTTGGGGAGGTAATAGTTTGGAAGTGGGAGGGAAGGGATGGTAGGGGAAAACAAAGGAGGGGGCAACAATGCTTGATAAGAAATGTACTCATTACTTTGCTCATGTAACTGTAACCCCTTTGTACAGTATTTTCACAATAAAAAACTTATTAAAAAAGAAATCATTTCACTACAAGATATATATATATATATTTCAATATATTTTTCTTTACTACATTCAAATAAAACAAAGAAATCTAAAAAAAAGAAAAACAATAGGTCCTCTGCTATACAGCAAGTCTCTTGAAAACATTTATCTTTACACCACAGAACTTTTACACTGATTGAACAGCAGCCTCCTATTTTCCTCATCTGCCATGGTCTCTAAAACCATAATTTTCCTGTGTCTATGAATTTGACCAGAATTATAATCCTTCTGTGATTGGTTTATTTAATCTAGCATAAGGCCTCCAGATTCACCATTGTTGTCATGTAACACAGGATTTCCTTCTTTTCTAAAGCTGAGAAATACTTTATTGTATATATAAACCACTTTTTTTTTTGTCTATCATGGGGTTCAAACTCTGGGCCTGGGTGCTGTCCCTGAGCAATTTTGCTCAAGGTTAGCACTCTACCACTTTGAACCACAGCACCACTGCTGATTTTCTGCTGGTAAATTGGAGATAAGAGTCTCAAAATATTTCCTGCCCAGGCTGGCTTTGAACTACCATCCTCACATCTCAGCCTCCTGAATGGCACTCAGCTCCCAACTTGTCTTTACCTACCTGCCTGATAGTATTTTAGGTTCTTTCTTTTTTTTGGGGGGGGGTCCATTCATGGGGCCTGAACTCTGACCCTGGGTACTGTCCCTCAGCTCTTCAGCTCAAGGCTAGCGCTCTACCACTTGAGCCACAGCACCACTTCTGGCTTTTTTTTTCTTTTTGCTTATGTGGTGCTGAGGAATCGAACCGAGGGCCTCAGGCATGCAAGGCAAGCGTTCTACCACTGAGCCACCTTCCCAGCCCAGTATTTTAGGTTCTTTCTATATTGTGGCTATTGTGGAAAATATTGTTTCAGTGAACATAAGAATGTATACATTACTTTATATCTTGATTTCAATTTATTTATATTGATATGAACAATTATGAATGGTACATAACAAAAAACAGAGTAGGACCAGGGTCCCAACAAGTCCCTGCTACTGTTCCCCAACCTTTCAAGATTAATTCTCTTTTGGATTTATAAATTGAATCACAACCTAAATATTCCTTGTAACTGGCTTCTTCTGTTCTTTTGTTGAAATCAAGAAAAATGTTCTTTTAGCTGAACCATGTGACTTTTCTGGATGTTCACTTGATCACTAAAGTATATAGATTCATTTTGAACTATTGTTCCACTTTCTTTGGTATTCATGTGTTGAGGATTTATGTCTCTTTGAGAATGAGTGCTAAAGCTTTGACTTTACCCTAAAAAATAAGCCAGGAATTCTATAATTAAATATTATCTGGAAGAATTTGCAGAGCATTGTTCGAATTTCCCCCTTAAAGTCTTGCTAGAATTCCCCAATGAGAGCCTCAAAGTTTCCAGGGCTGAAATACCAAAAGGAACTACAAGCTCAGAGAAAATTAGCAGCTTGCTTGAAATTTTGTAGAGATGAGCACAAGCCCAAATTGCAATAAATATCTTTACTCTTAAATAAATATCCTTATGTTAAAACATGTGTATGATATCACCAGGTAGCAAACATCAAAAACTTTCAGGGAATGGTGATCTGACTTTACAATCAAAATAAGAAACCAAATACTGAACAGACAGAAACACTAGACAAACTGTTGGATGAATTTAAAAACCGCTGTTTTAAGAACATTCAATGAGCTTCAAGAGAAATGATTAAATTTTCTAACAGATTTTAGCAGATAGACAGGAAGAATAATTTTAAGCTAAAACAGAAATCCATGAGCTAAAAAAATATGCTAAGCAAAATGAAAAGCATGATGGAAGACTGGATCAAAGAAGCCAGAGAGACATCAAGCTCTATGACACCCTACTTGATGAGATACTTGATGGAGAAGATAAAGGAACAAAGAATTACACCTGTAATCCTAGCTACTCAGGAGGCTAAAAATCCATAAGATTATGACTGAAAGCCAGACCCAAGTATTGTAAGCAGAAAAGCCCATGAGATTCCAACTTCAATTAACCAGAAAAAAAATTAGAAGACTGCCAGCTAAGCAAGCACACTGAGCAAGAGGAATGAAGCCCTGAGTTCAAACCCCTTGGTATAGAAGAGAGAGACAGAGACAGAGACAGAGAGAGAGAAACCCAAAACTCTATGGGAACATGAGCAATTTCCTACTAGAAGGTCATTTTTAGGAAGAATAGGAGGTGAACTTCACCAACAAGCTCACCATTAGATTTCCAAGACAATCCTCATGTCTCCCACAGCAATATATATTTTATTTAAATGAAGCAGATGTTAGCTGCTTATGCTTTAAAACCTTAGTAAAAAGAATATTTGGGTTAAAATAATTGGTAAAAAAGTAATTATATAAAAGAAGTTTGTACCATTTTCAAATAAATGTATTAATGAAGGCATCAATCGTGACCAAACTAAAACTGAGATTGATAAAAGTATAGAATTACCTCTGATCTCCCAACCAAAGAAATAATTGGGGACTGTGTGGCTTAAGTGTTAGAGTACCTTCCTGACTAGACTCTGAATTCAAATACAAGGACCCTGAAATGAATAAATTAATAGTTTTTGGGTTATGCCACCAAATTTTGGAGTGGCTCACTAAAATAGCTTATGTTTATGTGAGTGCTGGTATTGATATTAATCTAGAAGTTGTCTTAAATTTCTCTTTATATGGTTTTCTTTTCATTATTTTACTGTATGTATGGTATTCAACTTTTTTGTCTTTTCTCTTTTTTGGTACTGGGGATCAAACCCAGGACATTGCACTTGCTAGGCAAGGGCTTTACCACTGAGCTACATCCCAGACCTATGTTATGGTATTTTTAAATATGTCAATTGTAAGCAAAGTGTATATGTGCATGTGTCTTGTATAATCTTTGGTTTTGCTTTTTATTAACTTTTCCTTGAGTTTTAAGTGGAGCACCTATATATTTGAGTTAAAATAGTGCATCTTAATCTTAGCTCCTAATGTGTCCTATTTATGACAAATATGCTAAATATATGATTTTCTTTCTCTTTATTGCCTTTTATGATTTTGCTGCAAATTCTGCTTCCTCTTTCTAATTTTTTGTCTCTTGCTTTTTGTTTTTTGTTTTTTGTTTGTTTGTTTTGGTGCTAATCTTGGGACTCAGGGCTTGGATAATACTGTCCCTAAGCTCTTTTACTCAAAGCTAGAACGCTACCACGTGAGCCACAGCTCCACTTCTGGTTTTTTTTTTCATGGTTAATTGGAGATAACAGTCTTGGAATTTCCTCCCATGGCTAGCTTCAAACCGTGATCCTCAGATGTCAGCCCCCAGACTCACTAGGATTATAGGCATGAGCTACTGGAGCCTGCACTTTAAGTGTTTTCATAATGTTACAAAACTATAATTTCAGCAAGGTTGGAGAGGTGGCTCAAGGATAGATTTTGTGCCTTGCCATAACTTCAGTACTGGAATTAAAAAGAAAAAAATTTTAGGATAGGTATTGGATTTGACTTGGTCAATTTACCTCTATTTTTTAAAAGATTCTTGTTCAAGTATAATTTTTTTTGTCTATTACTATTAAGGAATCAATAAACATTCACACAGGGAGACCAAAAGAGGCTATTTTTAGGACAGAATCACAAGGGTTCAATAGCTATGATCATAGAATATGATGCTTATCAAAATGAGCTCCAAAAATGGAAACAAAAGGTGTTTTTTTTTTACTTCTTGTGGTTTTTTTTTCTATTTTAACCTTTTGTCGACATTTTTTATTTCTGTGTCTTTTGTCTTTTATGTAAGCTTATCTGATTTGGAAAAGGGAAGAGGAATCACAGAAATGGTGGGACAAAGCAGTATGGAGGTTCCTCAAAAGACTAAACATAGAGCTTGCCTATGACGCAGCAGCAATCCCCCTTCTGAGCACTTACCCAAATGACCACAAAAAAGGCCCTACTAAAGCTCCCAGCACAACTATGCTCATCACAGCATTATTTACTATTGCTAAGATTTGGAACCAAACCAGATGCCCCTCAGTAGATGAATGGATCAAGAAAAAAAATTATATATATATATGTGTGTGTGTGTGTGTGTGTGTGTGTGTGTGTATACATATATATATGTATATATGTATGAATTCTATGCTTCCATCAGAAAGAATGGCATCACCCCATTTGTAAGGAAATGGAAAGACTTGGGGAAAAAAATCATATTAAGTGAAATAAGCCAGACCCAAAAGAAACACAGGTCCCATGGTTTCCCTCACTTGTAATAATTAGTATATGTTTAGCATAATCCTAGCAGATAAGCAGAATAGCAATAGCTATGTGCATATGACCATATATGATGATACTAAGCAAAATGAACTCACAAGATGTTTTTCTTTGTTGCTGTTATTGTTTTCAATATACTATGTGATTTTTTGTTTCTTTTGTATGTTCTTCCCCCTACAGTATATCCACTGTTGTCACTGTATTTGATTTTGGTACCCTGGTTTTTATATACATTTATGTAAATTAGGGAAGGGAAGAGAAACAACAGAATGGTGATGCAAAAGACAAGTGGGGAACCAATGCAGCAGCAATATACACAAGACAGTATGTTGGAAATGATCTGTACAACTAAGGGGGCTGGGAGAAAGGGAAAGATGGAGGAAAATGAGGGGGTAAAACTACCTTACTTATATGTAATTGTAACTTCTCTGTACATCACTTTGACAATAATTTTTTTTAAGGTGAACTAGGAAGTGGCGCTGTGGCTCAAGTGGTAGAGCACTAGCCTTGAGCTGAAGAGCTGTGTGCCCAGGCCCACAGTTCAAGTCCCACAACCGATAAAAAAAATGGTGAAAATGAGTTATACAACTTGTAGGGGAGGGTAAACAGAAGGGAAAAAAACTGGGAGAAAACAAGGGGAGAGGTGCCACTGTTCAAAAAGAAATGTACTCATTATCTGATTTATGTAATTGTAACCCTCTCTCCATCACATTTACAATAAATTTTTAAAAATTCTTTAGTAAGCCATCAAACTTCATTTTTTGTTCTCCTGCTAACATCTCCTGTCAACATGTAGCCCAGCTTCCCTGCCTCATATTTCTCTTCTCAAATCAACAGATTCCCTTAAGGAGAAAGTAATTTTTATTTTATAATCTGTATCTTAAGCTTTCAATATCTTATTGTTTTGTGGATCTAAGTCTTTTTTTTGTATGATTCCAAGGTTTTTAACTCAGACCTTGTGTTTGCTAGGCAGGCCCTCTACCACTTGAGTCATGCCCTACCCTTTTAAATTTTTTACTGCTTTTTTTAATCTTTCAAATAGGGTCCCATTTTTAGCCCATGCTAGCCTGGACCTCAGTCCTTCTATTTAGGCTGTGTAGCTAATATTACCTTTATCAGCTAATATTAAAAAAAGTTTGGTAAACATTTTTTCCTGGATTGTCTCAAACCTCTATCCTTCATACCACAGCCTCCAAAGTGTCTAGGATTACAAGTTTGAGACAGCATGCCCATCTTTTTATTTGTGTTAACCATTGCTAATGGATATTTGCTTCCTTATGAACTGGGAGCTTTTGTATGACTGATTCTGATCTGTTGGCACTGTGAGTTATCTGCTTGAAGTGACATCTCCAGAGATATACACTATTTGCTTTATTTCAGTGTCCTCAGTTCTAATCAACCTGGGACAAATGTAGTTTCATGGATTTGAATCCCAACCACAAGCCTGAACTTGCATGTTTACTCACAGTTTTTCAATATGAAATTATTTTTCTTTATTTTTTTCTCTTTCGTACATTTGTGGAAAACTGAACAGGAAATCAATGGTATTGTTTTACCCTTTGGATATCAAGAATAATAATATTAGTTTTTGTAGACTACTCATCTAATTAAGCTGAAGTAGTCAAATAGCAATCTGATGAAGGAGCTGACGTGTGAGGATGGGATCTACCCTTTCTTGGAGGTTGTAGTCTTTTTGACAAAGGAAAAATAGTCCCCAAACTTCGGCAAATTACAATGGCTCACCTTTAAAATTAATTAGAAGCCAGACATCAGGAGGTTGAGATCTGAGGATCACAGAAACCAGCCCAGTCAGGAAAGTCTGGGAGTTTCTTATCTCCATTAAACTATGAAAATGCCCAAGGGGGAGCTGTGACTCAAATGGTATAGCACTAGCCTTGAGCAAAAAAGCTCAGGAACAGTGCCCAGGCCCTCTGTTCAAACCCAGGACAGGCATATACACAAAGTAATTAGAATGTTTGTCTATATACAAGATAAATAAGTTAGCAGAAACTAATTCACCATTTTCAGAAAATACAAAATAAAATTGAAAGTGAAGAATACAATTGATTGAAAATTGTCATTGTGTTTGTGAACTCAAACTACAGGTAAAGAATAATACATGAAATAGGACATACCAGGTTTTTTTCCACAACAATATTTATTTGAAGTGATCGAGGATATAACTTGGAAGGTCTGTTTACCTGAAAAACATGTAAGAGGAATCTTGAAAAATTTATAAAACTTTATCTCTTATTGACATTATATAAACTGTCATAAATTAAAGATAGGTTACTGACTCTGTAACTAGGCTGTTTCAAATAAAAAGAATATTTAGGTGCTTTTCAAAGGATCCCACTTAAGTGCTGGGATTGGGCTGGGAAGGTGGCTCAGTGGTAGAGTGCTTGCCGCCTGAGGCCCTGGGTTCGATTCCTCAGCACCACATAAGCAAAAAAAAAGGGAAAAAGCCGGAAGTGGCACTGTGGCTCAAGTGGTAGAGTGCTAGCCTTGAGCTGAAGAGCTGAGGGACAGCGCCCAGGTCCAGAGTTCAGGCCCCACGACTGGAATTCCCTCCCCCCCCAAAAAAGAAGTGCTGGGATTAGTGATTAGTGACGGCTTCTAGTTACACTTTCCAAGTCATAGAAAAAACAGGAAGTTCTGTTTTTATAATAATTGAATTGAAATTTTACTTCAAAAGCATTGCTTTCTTACCTTTCTGATCATTTGTATAATTTCTATGATAGGAGTTTCTGCTACCAATAGTTTAAAAATTATTTTTAGCAAATAATGCAGATATATGGTACTCATAAACTGACACGTTGAATTGAAACTCCTTTGTACAACTACTTGAAGAAGACATTACTAAAGTCTATAATTAATAACAGCTGAGTCATAAATAACAGCAGTTCACTAAAGCCAGTTTTGTGTGTTTGTAAAGAGTCACCACTTTCTTTAATACAGATCTCATGTGACAAATACAATTAACCACTGTAGAACTTTCCTGAAACAAAAACTTAAGATTTTCATTTAAATTATTTAACAATTGAGAAAAAAAAAGAAAGAATTTTTACATGTGAACATCAATGTTTAATGTTTTGGTTTGTTACAGTCATATATCTACAGCTGTTTACAAGATTAATTCCTTGTTCGGGTTTGTTTCTGTATTTTTTGTTGTTATTGTTGTTCATGGGGCTTGAACTTAAGGCCTAAGCACTTTCCCTGAGTTTTTTGCTCAAGGCTAGCACTCCACCACTTTCAGCCACTGTTCCACTTCTGGAGTTAATTGGAGATAAGAGTTTCACAGGGGCTTGGAAGGTGGCTCAGTGGTAGAGTGCTTGCCTTGCAAGCATGATGCCCTGGGTTTGATTCCTTAGCAACACATAAACAGAAAAAGGGGAAGTGGTGCTGTCCCTCAAGTGGCAGGTTAGCCTTGAAGAACTAAAGGACAGTGCCCAGGCCCAGAGTTCAGGCCCAAAGTCCAATGGAAAAAAAAAAAAATCTGTTTAGCTAGGCGCTGGTGGCTCACCCCTGTAATCCTAGCTACTCAGAAGGCTGGGATCTGAGGATCACATTTCAAAGCCAGCCCAGGCAGGAAAGTTCATGAGACTCCAATAAACCACCAGAAAACCGGAAGTGGCACAATGGTTCAAGTGGTAGAGCACTAACTTTGAGCTGAAGAGCTCAGGAAAAGTGCCCAGGCCCAGAGTTCAAGCCCCATGACCAACCAGAAAAAAAAAGTTTTCTGCCCTGGCTGGCTTCAAACCTCCATCATCCTCTTGAGTAGCTAAGATCACAGGCATCCACCAGTGCTGGGCTTAAGTCCTTGTTTTGCACAACTTATCTCAATCTTCATTCAGTCGATCACAGACAGTTGCAGACTATGTACGTGGACTGCCCAGAAACCAAAGGAGAGCTATGAGTATGCCCAAAACATCCTCACTCTTTCTCATGGAGCAGAGGTGGGAAGGTAGTCCCTTCTCCACAACCGGAGAAAAACTCCATCTTTGATACTGAAACAGACCCAGCTAGAGCAGCTAGTGAAACTCAAGCCTGGGAAGAAGACAATAGGAACCACTCAATGGGCCAAAAGGATCTGACCTGCAGCAGGGCTCTGCTCCACCCCAGGGGAGAGTTGCCCCTCTCAGAGGACTCTCCTTAGTGGGTAAACAGAGCCAGAGACTACCTTATCTGGCTGCTGCACAGGAAGCAACTCCAGCCCGTGAGCAATTGGAAACGTTTTACACATAAATCCTGAGATTGACTCCAGGCTGGGCTGATTGAGTCTCTCAGGAGCTAACCCATCAGGGTAAAGCTACTGATTGCTGACAGGCCACACAGCCTTACCTACAACTTAGCCCCATCACAGTAACTCCAAATTAGAGGAAACAGCCACCTCGCTCTTTTGTAATACTCAAAGTAGATTGCCCTCCCACTGAACTAGCTTGGGAGAAGGAACATAAACTCCTGAGTGAGGCAGAGCTTCCTTCAGCCTGCTCAAACAAACTGATTGAAGAAACCAACCAAGCCACAGGACAACCAAACTACAGGCCTGTACTTGATGCTTGCTTTAAAATAGTGTTCTAACTCAGAATTGGTTTGGCTATCATATCCAATGGGCAGAACAAGCAGAAACACAAATGACAAGTCCAGGTATTTCAACTCCTGCTCAGGACAATCAGGCAACACAGCAGTCAATGAATAACCCAGAGGAGAGCTCCCAAAATGCTCTACATTTAATAGAGCATACTAGTGGTAAACATAATGAAATGCATGAGCCCGACGATTAAAACAGAAATATCACAAGCATGATGAGGTTAAAGATTAAGATAAGAATATGGTGAGCATGATGAAGCTAACAGAAATATCACGAGAGTGATAAGGCTAATCTAAGATTAATAGAGGAATTGTGTGAACAGGATGAGAATAGACAAAGATTAATGGAGGCATTCATGGAATCCACAGACAGCTAGAGGAATCCAGGGAGTCCACAAAGGGAATGCTGACTGAAGCCCAACAGAAGAAAAGGGAGTCCCATGAAACCATAATTAATCAACTAAGGGATTTGAAAATAAACACTGAACACCAAATTAAAGAAGTAAAGAAGTCCATACAGGATCTAAAACAAAGATCCAACAAAGAATTTGAAGCCATCAAACCTGACCAATTAGAAGTAAAAGAAATAAAAAAAAAATGAAGTAGAAAGTCTTGACAGTAGGTTAGACCATGCAGAAGATTGAATCTCTGGGATTGACGACAGCCTAGATATTATACAGAAAGAACAGAAAACTATTCAAGACAAATCCAAGAAATATGATAGATCTATTCAATATCTAGAAGACACCATCAGAAGGCCTAATATGAGGATAATGGGTGTAGAGGAACACCTAGAGACAGAAGTTAATGGTCTAGGAAATTTATTTAACAGGCTCCTAGCAGAGAACTGCCCAAACATGCAAAAGGATAGGCCTATTCAAATACAAGAAGACTTTAGAACCCCAACTAGACCAGACCAGAACAGGACATCCACTGTCACATTGCAATACATACAGAATCAATTCAGACTAAGGAAAGGATCCTTAAAGCTGTCAAGGAGAAAAGATCAATCACCACTCAGAATAACTTCATATTTCTCAGCAGAGACAATTAAAGCAAGAAGAGCCTGGAATAATGTATGCCACATCCTTAAGATTTAAAAAAAACTATCAATCAAGAATACTGTACCCAGAAAAACTCTCCTTCATGGAGAGTCTAATTTTACCTTCATGGAAGGTCAAATAAAAACATTCCACAGCAAAGAAAAATTGAAACAATATATCTCCATCAAACCATCCTTACAAAAGACACTTAAAGATGTTCTACACATAGAAAACCAAAAAGAGCAAATAAACACCAAGAAACAGGGCCCAAATAGAGAATCCAAGAAGCATTGGAAGAACTCAGTTGGCACAGCCCCCAAGAAGATGGATAACATGCCAAGAACTACAAAACACCTCTCACTCCTAACTCTCAATATTAATGGACTTAACTCTCCAATGAAGCGATATAAACTATCTAGTTGGATCAAAAAGCAATATCCTTCTATCTTCTGCCTACAAGAGACACACCTTGACCACAAAACAAACATTCTGAAAGTGAAAGGCTGGAACAAAATCTACCAAGCAAATGGCCCCAATAAATAGGTAGGAGTTGCAATCCTAATAACGGATAACATAGACTTCAAATAAAAATTAGCGAGAAGAGATAAAGAAGGTCATTACATACTAATTAAGGGATATCTCCTTCAGGAAGATATTACAATTCTAAATATCTATTCACTAAATAGCAGAGCACCCAAATTTATCCAAGAAACACTACTTTCCCTAAAATCACACATAGATCCAAAACTATTAATTGTCAGGGACTTTAACACACAACTATCCCCACTGGATAGGGCAGCCCAGCAAAAACTCAACAGAGAAACCTCAGACCTAAACAATTGCATGGACCAACTACAATTAAGAGACATCTACCGAATATTTCACCCAGTATCATCAGAATACATGTTCTCAGCACCACATGGAACATTCTTCAAAATAGACCATATTTTAGGTCACAAAGCAAATTTGTCCACATTTGGAATCATTTAAATCATGCCCTATATTATCTCAGACCACAAGGGAATAAAATTAGAACTCAACACCAAGAGCCACCAAAGAAAATCCTGTAATACATGCAGGCTGAACAACACATTGTTGAACCACCAGTGGGTCACAGAAGAGATTAGAAAGTAAATTCAAATGTTCATGATATTTAACAAAATGAACACATAAATCACCAGCTCCTCTGGGACACAGCAAAGGCAGTACTCGGAGGCAAGTGTATACCTCTGAGTTCCTATATCAACAAATTGGAGAGATCTGAAATCAACAATTTAACAAGGCACCTGAAGCTCCTTGAAAATGAGCAACAAGCTAAACCCCAGTCCAGTAGATGGAAAGAAATAATTAAAATTCAATTAGAATTAAATTATTAGAATCCAGAAAAACCATAGAAAGAATCAACAAATCAGAGTTGATTCTTCAAAAAATGAACAAAATTGACACAAAATTGACACCCAGAAACACAACAAATCAAAGAAAGGTTGGACAAATGGGATTGCATGAAACTGCAGAGCTTCTGCATGGCAAAGGACATAGCAAGCAAGATGAATAGAAATCCCATGGATTGGGAGAAGATCTCCACTAGCCAGACAATGGACAAGGGTATCATATCGAAAATATCCTTAGAACTCAAAATTTTACATCCCCCAACAACAAATCCTCAAAGAAACAACTGCCCAGTAAATAAGTGGGCTAAAGACTTAAAGAGAAACTTCTCTGAAGAGGAAATAAGAATGACTAATAAACACATGAAGAAATGCTCAACTTCTCTAGCCACAAAAGAAATGCAAATCAAAACAACATTGAAATTCTACCTCACCCCAGTTAGAATGGCTATAATCAAGAAATCTAATAACAACAGATGCTGGAGTGTATGTGGCCGAAAGGGAACCCTACTGCATTGTTGGTGGGCGTGTAAACTTGTTCAACCACTTTGGAAAGCAGTATGGAGGTTCCTCAAAATACTCCACATAGAGCTCCCTTACGACCCAGCAATTCCACTTTTAGGCATTTACCCAAACAATCACAAACAAGGCCATACTAAAATTACCAGCACAACTATGTTTATCACAGCATTATTCACCATAGCTAAACTATGGGACCAACCCAGATGCCCCTCAGTAGATGCATGGATCAAGAAAATGTGAGATTATGTATATATATATATATATATATATACACACACACACACACATATATATATATATAATGAATTCTATGCCTCAATCAAAAAGAATGACACCACCTCATTTGTTAGGAAATGGAAAGACTAGGAAAAATTTGTATTAAGTAAGCCAGACTCAAAGGAACATAGGTCCCATAGTTTCCCTTATCTGCAATAACTAGTATATATCTAGGACAAGCAGAAGTACCTGATGCTAAGTGAAATGAGCCCCGCGATAGGGACACAAGAGGTTTTATCTTTGTTGCTGTTTTTTTTTTTTTTATCGGCGGGGGGGCTTGAACTCTGGGCCTGGGCGCTGTCCCTCAGCTCTTCAGCTGAAGGCGAGCGCTCTACCACTTGAGCTACAGCGCTACTTCCGGTTTTCTAGTGGTTTATTGGAGATAGGAGTCTCACGGTCTCTCCTGCCTGGGCTGGCTTTGAACCACGATCCTCAAATCTCAGCCTCCTGAGTAGCTAGGATTACAGGCGTGAGCCACCAACGCCCGGCTGTTGCTGTTTTTTTTTAATGTACTTATAATGTAATATGTGATTTTTTTGTTTCTTTGTATGATCTTCCCCCATGGCACAATCCCTGTTGTCACTGTATTTCATTCCGGTGCCCTTCATCTTGTATATACATTTTTCTAATTTGGGGAGGGGAAGGGAAATAACAAAATGCTTAAGTAAGGAAACAGGTTGACCCATTGTAACAATGAGATGTACAAGACACTATGTTGAAAATGAACTTTACAACTTTTAGGGTGTGGGGCGAGAGAGGGGAAGAGTTTGGGAGGTGGGAAGGAAAGGGATGGTAGGGGGAAAATAAAGGAGGGTATAACAATTTAAAAAAACTTTAATCAGATGTCAAAAAACACTTATCTCAAGTGAAAAGCACAGCAATGAACAGAGATACACTTTCTAGTTACTGAAGTTATGCAAGTTACCCATCAAATTTGGCTTGCAACATCATTTTTCGTTCCATAAAATAAGTTAAAAAGGTTATCACTTACTTCTATGGTCCTTCTGGCCTGATAGTGCACAGCATTAAACCAGTCATAAGTGTCACCTCCTAAGGCAGGAATATTTGTTGTATTACCATTGCTCTCTTGATAAACCATGTGAACAAAGCCTGAGGCAGCCTCCATTGGCTTAATTCCATATGAGATGTTTTTAAATTGTATTGTGCCCCTGAATATTAAAATAATCAAATAAAGTTGGTAATGACACTACCAGAACTATGATGCTTATGAGAAATTTTGACCAAAATTGCTTTTATTTTAAATTAAAAGCCATCTTTGTTTTGCCACTTTATCTCTTAGTTCTTTGAGGTCTTGTACTGGAAATAGACTACCCAATTACAGAACACATACTCCATTCAATTACAAATATTTGTAATAAGTTAATAATCACAAAAATAATAATCTTAAGGAAATAGTAATGTAATATTAAATATTAATATAAAACATATTAATTTTATCATTAATATTAATATTATTTTCTTGATGTATCAAAATGTTTAGATTTATTATTAACTAAATACATGTTGGTAATGTTTATTATTAACATTAATATTACTATTGGTTAAATTATAAATATTAAGATGATAATCTTTTTTTTTAAAGTTTGTTATTGGCATGGGTTTCATTTGTTAAACAAGGAAAAATTTCTTTTTAGTGTGTTGGCCTTCTGTTCCAGCCTGCAGGGTCTGGAGATATTTAGTAACTTCCCTATAGGCTTCTTCCTTGGTCTCCGTTCTCTTATCTTTTATATACCCCACTCTTATTCTGATATCTAAATACTCTAGATTATTTGTTGTGTGGCTGAACAACAAATATGATCAAATGCAAAGGCAGGCAACGTTTCTATAAGCTTCAGATATAATGCAACTGTCATTGATTCTAGGAAATTGAGAAGCAGGCTGAAACCAAAATTTGGGGAAAAGTCCAGAAGAAAGGAGAGGCCAGAAGCACTGCCTGCACCAACCATGACTCAGAGCCTTCAGCAGAATATCCCACCACTATTAGCCAGTGGCATGAGAGCCTGACCAGCCAGGCTCAGGGGAAGCCACCACCTGGTATTAGTCATTGATTTTGTCCTTGACCAATGGAAATGTAAAGGTGATTACAGAATTAGAAGAGGCACATGGAAAATTCATGCATAGGATCAGCTGGATATACCACCTGCAGGTTAAACATTTTTAAATAGCATACAACCTGAGTCCTGAACAAACGTTGAGTGTCACAAGAGAATCTGGAAAACCTGCAATATATCCATTATAATTGCAATTCATCTAAAAAATGCACAAAGAAAAACAAAGGGATGACTCATTTTGTTAAATATATACTCCAATATATAACATTGACATTTATTACTATACCTACTACAATATTTAAGAGGATAGATCATTCCATTTCAGCAACTATATCAAATAATATTCTTATCATCATAGACATTTATAGATTTTCTTTTCCAAGAAAATCCCAAATAAGAAATCTGTAAGAAAAAAACACTAAAGCTTACCTGACTTAACAATGTCTGGAAATGTTTGTTGCCCTCTTGGTCATAATAATAAACAAGAGCACCTGGGGACAAAAATGATCTAGACAAAAAATATAAAAATATGCTCAAATGATACTGTAAAGTAGAAAATTAATTCTTCATATACAAAATCTAGGTTTTGAAGGACTAAAAGCCTAGAATTAGCCTATTGCCCAAATATCTCTCTATCTCTTTAAACTGAGTTATTGAGAATGACATTTTAATTAGAGAGACATAATACTAAAACACTGGTTAATGAACAATTCAAATCACTGGGCAGATCAGGGAGATATAGTACGAGTCCCAATTTCCAGTCTTAAACTTGCAAATATTTAATTTTTAACACTCATGGATTTCAGATGCTGTACATCAATCTCAAAATTAAAATGTAAGATTAGCAGCAAATTTAGAAATATTTGATCTAGGAGGAGGCTACAATGCTTGATAAGAAATGTGCTCATTATCTTGCCCATGTAATTGTAATCCCTCTGTACAGTATTTTCACAATAAAAAATAAAATAAACATCCTACACTGAAAAAAAAGAAATATTTGATGTAACAAAAAAATCATAATCATTAACCTTAGCTATGCTTCAGGCTCTTCTTAATAGCAATGGTCAGACTTTTCTTTCATTTCTCTTGATAACTATTCAAAAAGTTGGATACAGGGTCTCACACCTGTAATCCTAACAATCTGGGAAGTGGAGACTGGGAGAATTGTCATTTGAGTCCAGACTGGATAAAAAGTTTGCGGGACCACATCTCAACCAACAGCTGAATGTGGTGGTAGGTGTCTGTCTTTCCAGCTAGAGTGAAAAGCTTAAACAGAAGGATTACTATTTAGAATTGCCCTACAGGAGAGGGGAGTGGCAGGACTCCATCTCAAGAATTACCAGAGCAAAAAAGAGTGGGAGAGACATAACTCAGCAGCAGAGTACCTATCTAGCAAGCACAAAATCCTGAGTTCCAATCCCAATGCTAGAAAAGAGCAAATGTTGACACCACTCCTGAAACCATCCCATTTAACTTCCATGTCATCTCACTTCTCTATCCTTTGTGCCCACCTTACATTTCCAGAGGCTAACTAACCTCTTTCATCTAGGGGGATCCCATATACGTGTGCTGCAGATCCCATATTGTGCCATACTCTATAAAGATGCAAACTCTCTCCTACCACTTAAAACTTTTCCTCTTTAAAAGCCTTTTTTTTAAAACCCTAGTGTTATTTAGAAATGTTATTTTCAAGCCATGGCTTGAAATAACCCTTTGCTATGACCAATGTTTCTTTTTCAATTTTCAATAGATTTCATCCAAGCAGTAGTGTCACACATATTCTCTACTTTTCCAATTCCATTCACTTTGGCAAATGTCCTATCCATAACCACTAGCATTTCAATTTTTTTTGGGGGGGGGTCTGGTCATGGGGCCTGAACTCTGGGCTTGGGCGCTGTCCCTCAGCTCTTCAGCTCAAGGCTAGCGCTCTACCACTTGAGCCACAGTGCCACTTCTGGCTTTTTTTCTTTTTGGCTTATGTGGTGCTGAGGAATCGAACCCAGGGCCTCATGCATGCAAGGCAAGTGCTCTACCACTGAGCCACCTTCCCAGCCCGCATTTCAAATTTTTAAAAATCATTACTGTATTGGACTTCTGGTGTCTACTTGAAAACTATGACCACTAAGTTTAACCATTTAACTTATAAATTCCATAAATATGCACCATGGTGTACACATTTTACTCTTCTGCTTCTCTTCTTACTCCCAGATCCTCCCTGATCTTCCATGTTGGCTACATTTTTTTCTGTCTGTCCTGGAAATATTTTTATTTTATTGTATTGCATTGTATTGTACAGAGGAGTTACAGTTACATTTCTTTTTGAACAGTGTTTCCCCCTCCCTCATTTTCTCCCACTTTCCCTCCCCCCCATCTCCCTCGCCCCCCAAGTTGTAAAGTTCATTTCCAACATAGTGTCTAGTCTCTGTTGCATTGATTCACCATTAATCCCACCATTTCTCTGATTCCCCTTCCCTTCCCTAAGTCAGGTAAACTTATATACAAGACAAAGGGTTCCAAAATCAGAAACAGTGACCACAGGTAATAAACAAGAGCAGAAAACAAAACTAAATACGAAAGAAATAACTGCAAACAGTATACTAAAAAAGAAAAAACAACCACAAAAACTCTCTCTTGTTTCCATATCATGGAGATCATTTCAATTAGCATCATTCTATGTGTTCATATGCACATAGCTATTGGGCTACTGTGAACCTCTGCTAGGACTATCCTAGGCATATACTAATTATCACAAATGAGGGAAACCATGGGGCCTATGTTTCTTTGGGTCTGAATGTGGTGTAGTAGTATAGTGTTTGCCTAGAAATGTTTTTATCCAAGCTTTAGACATTAGCAACTAATCTGTTTATTAAAAAATATATATGCTGCCACTATCCACCACAGCTGAGATATGGAATAGAAGAATAGTAGATGAATATATATGAAGGAATTCAATGCTTCCATCAGAAAGAATGGCATCGCCTCATTTGTAAGGAAATGAAAAAAAATCATATTAAGTGAAATAAGCCAGACCCAAAAGAAACACAGGTCCCATGGTTCCCTCATTTGTAATAATTAGTATATGTCTAGCATAATCCTAGCAGATGAGCAGAATAGCTTAATAGCTATGTGCATATGACCATATAGGATGATATTAAGCAAAACGAAACCCAAGACATGGGCACAAGGTTTTTCTTTGTTGTTGTTGTTGTTGTTTTTAATGTACTATGTTTCTTTTGTATGTTCTTCCCCTATGGTATATCTACTGTTGTCACTGTATTTGATTTTGGTACCCTGGTTTGTATATACATTTATGTGAATTAGGAAAGGGAAGGATAACAACAGAATGGTAAGACAACAGACAAGGGGGGAACCAATGCAACAGTGATGTATACAAAACAGTATGTTGGAAATGATCTGTACAGCTTGGGGGTGGGGGTAAGTGGGGAGGGAAATAGGAGAAACATGAGGGAAGAGGAAACAAATTTCACAAGAAATGTACTTATTACCTTACTTTTGTAATTGTAACCCCTCTGTACATCACCTTGACAATAAAAACAATAATTCACAAAAATTGTATGCTGCTATTTTAATAATAATATTAATTGTATTGCTTACTGTTGTATTTTCCTACTGAAGCCTCTAAGAGACTTAAATTCCTATATGCCTATATTCCTATTTCCAGTGGAAAAATACACTTGAACATAAAGGCTACAATTCAAACTTACCCCTTCTGCACATATAGACCACCCTTGTTCAGATCACTCCTTTGATTATAAAATAACTTGTCCAGCAAGTAAATTAACTGCAGTCTTTGATATTTCCCAGGCAGCCTTCCAAATCTCTCTTAGGTCTACTAAAGTTTTCTTTCCAGTTATAACTGATAGGTGCCATAACCACCCACCAAAACTTTCAGTCATGTAACTAAATCAACCTCCTCTACTTCTTACCCCTGAAATACAACCTACCACACTCCACTATGTAAATACAAAATCCTTGCAATGTCAGTAAATATCTGTCACTTGTCTGGTTTTCTAAATACTTTCACCTCGACCTTTCAGAAAAATATCTCATTTCATAATTTGCATTACCATTTGTACACACAAAAAGTCCTTTTGCATCTTTTTGTTTTGCAAATCATTTTTGCTGTAAATTATCATCCTAACCTACCCCTCTTCTTTACAAAGCTAGTGGTTATCTTCTCTTGGCACACAGGTCATATTATACCTCTTTCAAAAACCCTTCTCTGACTTCAGATTTCATAAGAACACTTTGTTCTTATTAGTATTACTTTAATGCATTTATAACTGTCTTTGTTCTTATTGCTATTATAATATCATATTATAAAATGCTGTCTCAGTTAATATACCTGAATGTACCTTCCTTTAATATATATTCCTTAACTTATTTCATTGCCTAGGATTTTAACTAATACTCAATATACAACAGCTATCAATATGCTTGAATTAAAATGAGTCTATTCATTTAACTATGCTTTTAAACTTAAGAGATTAAAGACTTAAAATTTGAAGGGACAAAATATAATTACTTACTGCTTTTTGAGATGGATAAAATATGGTTTCCCTGCTATTGTAATAAGATAAGCAAGCTGTAACCAGAATAGCCAAGAAATGTGTTTTAATTTATGCTTTAAAAACTTGACCAGATTAATAACAACATATTACCATTATATTGGCTTCCCTTCCCATGTAAATATTTGAAGCTTTAGGATTTGAAACATAGAAGCAAATAGAAAGACTCCACATCTGCACTACATGACTGCTCCCACTTCTGAAGGACACTTGCCTGTCATTTTCTGGGGTTCAGAGATACCTTTCCAGATCCTTGTGCTGATCCCAAATAGCCTGTCTCTCTCCCTTGCCTCATCCTAATTCTGTTCTTGGGGGAAAACCCACGATTTTTGTCACTCAATGTTTGTGCTTGAAGGTCTTCTTTCAGAGTCTTTCATTCTTACTGGAACCAGTCTGTTCTATATTGGTTGACACATATTTAAAATCTGGATGCTGGCCAGGCACTAGTAGTTCACAACTGTAATCTTAGCTACTCTTGAGTCTGAGATCTGAGGATTGGGATTCAAAGCCAGCCTGGGCAGACAAATCAGAAAGACTCTTAGCTCCAATCAACAGGCAAAACCTGTAAGTAGAGATGTGGCTCAAGTAGTAGAATGTCAACTTTGAGTAAAAAAGCTGAGTAAGAGCCCTCCTCATAATGGTACACATACACACACACACACACACACACACACACACACACACACAAAGGCTGTGTGCTGAGCTTGCTCTGAGCTGCCAGGGCTGACTACACCCTGTATTCAACAGCTTTGATGCTAGAAGCAATCTTATCAGAATCTAAACTATAAAGAGAAAACATTCCCCAATTACATTGTTGTCTGGATTATGTTCTGGACGTCTTTTTGCAGCTGGTGATACAATCTTCTCAGGAACTGTGAGCTGTAGGTAGATTTTATGTGTATCTAAAAATAGAAATAAGTGATATTGTTTTGATATTTGAAATTTTCATTATATATTTCTAAGCTTAATTATGCATTTTTCTCTACATTAACAGCTATTTTTAAATAATCTCTATATCTCTTCTTTCCTACTGAATTTATGATCCCCATATCTATGAATTTCTAACCTGTTATCAACACCTCAAGTCAAGTTTCCTCTCATCTCTCTCTGCCTCACACACATAGAGCTGTGTATATGTATATACACATATACATGAGTATGCACAGTTCTTAGATACGTATTTCACACATCTCGTTCACGTACACACATCTATATCACATTTACACATAAACATACATGTACATGTGCAATTCCACAGCACAATGAAGTTAAGACCAAGTACCAAACTTCAGCGGGGGTAAAAGGGCTTGGAAATAAGAAAACACAGGCCAGGAAAATGAAGACTGTTTTCCGGAAAGCACATACAATGTGGGGTCTAATACCCTGCGGGGGGTGGGGTAGTGTGCCATTTCCGGGGGAGCAGGTGAAAGACAGCGTTTGTCCTGGCAGGATTTGGGCCATAGCTGTTTCGATGCTATTGCCACTTCCCGAATCATAGGACTTTAGTACATGAGGAGAAGCTTGGATTTCATTTTTGTCCATTTTACACATCAAGGGACCTCACCCGGGTCTTCCTAACCATCCTTTTTTGGCCAAAGAGAATAGGGGAGCATGGACCCTGGGCGGGAGGCGGAAGGGCAGGACCGGCCTTGGGATGCGAGGGTGCCATCCCAGCCTGTACCCCGGGGGGCTGCTTCCCAGCCTGCACCCCGAGGCATTCCACCACCCAGACTCACCAGAGTCGGCCTGCAGCCCGCTGAGTGCCGTGAGCAGCACCAGCAGCGGGACCATGGCTCTGCTGTCCTAGAGCCGGCCTGGTGGCAACAGTTGGGGCGTTGGGGCGAGTAAGGCGCGTGCAAAACCTCGCGGGGTGCAGGGCAGGAAGAAGAGAAGAAAAGGAGTTCTGGCACCCTGAAGGTTACTTAATAGGCAGCTCTCAATTGGAGAGGGCAGGGCTTCGAGAGCATCTCCTTTCTATCTTCTAATTAGATCGTTCCTTTGCAATTAATTTCCAGTTACAATCAGGAAAATAAATATGAAAACAGTCAAGTTATTAGTAGCAATCACCATGTCTGCACATTACACCCACACATCCACACACCCACCACCCATCTGAGCTAGGATCAGACAAAAATACAAGGTTACAAAAGCTGTGACTTTTGCAGTTTCATGGGTAGATGCGTTGTTACAGGACAATAAAACAAGCTCTTCAAATATAAATTTTCAAAAACTTCTGCAACATCCCAAGCTACCGTTGCTGGATTCTATTCCTGCCAATCCTGGTATCAGCTCTATAAAAAATAAAAATAAAAATCCCCAGACTGCCGGGCGCCGGTGGCTCACACCTGTAATCCTAGCTACTCAGGAGGCTGAGAGCTGAGGATCGCGGTTCAAAGCCAGCCCGGGCAGGAAAGTCATGAGACTCTTACATCCAATTAACCCAGAAAACCGGAAGTAGCGTTTTGGCTCAAGTGGTAGAGCGCTAGCCTTGAGCTGAAGAGCTGAGGGACAGCGCCCAGACCCAGAGTTCAAGCTCCACAAGTGACAAAAACAACAACAAAAAAATCCCTATATTATATAATACCAATTGTGGAGTGTTGTCGATTTTTTTTTTTTGCAGACACACAGGTTTTTCTCTTACTTTGGTCAAAGTATCTCTAATTATACCAGATTGGTTTGCGTAGAAGCAACAGGCTTCTCCTAAGGCTATAAATAAACCTCCTTTTTTTTTTTTTTTTTAAGAATAGTAAGTCTAAACCACACCTGTTTTGGAGTACCAACTCTGCGAGGGAATCCATTCGTTTTGGTTTTTTTTTTTAGCTTGGATACAGAGCTTTTTTAAATTTTTCGGAGTCTCATCCACTGCAGCACTTAATTGGCAGAGGTTTTTGTCACCTAAGAAGGCTGTGGTAAATTGTCATGTCCAAAATGAGCTTTACAACGTCGGTGCGGGGGGGGGGGGGGGGGGAGGGGAAGGATTGGGATTGGGATTGGAATAGGGAGCGGGGAGGCTGGGAAGGGATGTGAAGGGTAAACAAAGGAGGAGGCAGCAATGCTTGGTAAGAAATGTATGCATTATCCTGCCCATGTAATTGTAACCCCTCTGTACAGTATGTTCACAAATAAAATTAAATTAAATTTTAAAAAAAGAAGGCTGTGGTGTTGATACCTGTTGATTTAGCTATTTTAAAGCCTACTAGTCAGAGAATTAATACAGCTACAGCTCTTTTTGGGCCTAATCAATTGTCCCATTGGGCCTAGATGTGTACGGCCCACACCCCATCATACAAATATACTTGAGGTATTACGTGTACAATGATACAAAGTTTTTTTGTTTGACTGAGCACTTGTTTATGTATACACTGGGTTAAATCTTGGGTGTAAGCAAACCAAGCAGTTTCTGGGCTTTTAAGAACTTGGTGTTGATCATCATCCTTTGTTATTTTTTATTGTATTTTTACAATGTCCTACATAAGGAGAAGTTTTAGTGGATATCTATTAGCTATAACACACTTTTTTTAGCCTTGTAAATTTTTTGATAAGTTTTTTTATTGTGACAATACTGTACAGAGGGGTTATAATTACATGAGCAAGGTAATGAATACATTTCGTATCAATCTTTGTTATCAAGCATTGTGCCTTGTAAATTTTTTTGTTGTGAACATACCACACAGAGGGGTGTGCCTTGTAAATTTTTTAAGGTGAGTTTTTGTTTTCAATTGTATACTGAGGCATCTGTAGATTTTTGTAGATTTATTAACTGTATAGTAGCATTTGTAACAGCCGCTCCTAAGAAGTAAGGTGGTTTTGAGTCTAAACAGAACCAGCAGTCTCTAAGTTGGGACAGGTGGAATTTACAAGGGAGAAAGTGGCTTTTAACAGTTGCAGGAAAGGGTTAGTGAGGGTGTTAGGGAAGCCTGTTTTGGGGGGGGATTACTGGAACAGTTTGGGGCTCATGGGTAGCATTATGGCCACTCCCTGGGGCTTGTTTATATCTAGGGGTTGGCTTTCAACAATGAGCCTCTGGTCTAGGGGTTGGCTCCCGAATGTGAGTTTTTAAGAACAGGTCTCAGTTAGGCCTGATAGGGTTTAGAGGTAATTTATGTCTTATGTTTTGGATAGTAAATCATGTGCCAGGGTCTGGGTCATGGGTATATTATTTTAATTTCCAAGTTTTTTTTTTGGTCTCCCATACCATAGCTGTTGAGAAAGGGTTCCAAATTTTAAGAGTAATCCTAACTAGATTACAGTTACTTGTATGTCCACATAGATTTTTTTAATGAAATTTGAAGGTGAAATAGGGGTCTGAGTCAGTCCAGGGGGCGACAGGCTCACAGTCCCAGTTTTTGCAGTGTAATTTTTGTCACCTTAGCATGAAGGGTTACCTCGGCAGGGCAGGCATAAAATTGGGCTCACCCTAGCTGTGTTTTAGCTTTTAAAACTCCCACATCCGTTTTACTTTAGACCTCCTATTGCCACAATTTTAACCAGAGACGCCTCCTTAGCTCCTGGATGGGTGCCTAAGTTTGGCCAAAGTTGACACAAGTCAATTGTGAAGGAGGGGGGTTTGGGCATGTGAGGTTGGGGAGGACTTATCTAATAACATTCCCGTGGCTGTATCAATTAGACACCAATCAAATAGCTGAGGCTGATATTGTCCAAAACAACCTATGGAATAAATTATAGTTATGAATATAACAGTCTTGGCGATCCCCCCATGGTGGCTCAAATCACCATCTCTTTGGAGGGCTTGATATGGCAGGCTCAGAACTGACAGCGTCGCTGGACTTGGGTTTGGTTGCCTTTTTGACTAGCAAATGATGAATCCAGGGTCTGAGTCCATCTACCTTGACTGCCATGGGAGTTGTCAAAATCACCACATGGGGGCCTTGCCAGTGGGGTCCAAGAGTCTTGAACTTGTTTTATCCACACTTGGTCACCTGGTTGTAAAGGATGGGGCTGAAGGGGGGTGGGGAGAAAGGGGGCTGTTAAATGTAGCCCTAAAGGAAAGCTTCCTCTAATGGCTGAAGAACCTGTAAAGATTTAAGGATGTTATTGTCTGAAAGTTTTTTTTGTTTTTTAATAAGTTTTTATTGTGAAAAATACTGTACAGAAGGGTTACAGTTACATGAGCAAGGGAATGAGTACATTGCTTATCCAGCATTGTTGCCTCCTCCTATACCCCCCCCCTAAACAACTATGTTGTAATGTTCATTTTTCAACATAGTGTCTTGTACATCTCATTGTTGCAACTGGTCAACCTGTATCCCTATTTAAACATTTTGTTTATTCCCTTCCCCTCCCCAAATTATACCAACATCAAATACAGTGAAAACAGTGATTATACCGTGGGGGAGGAACATACAAAGCAACAAAAAAAATAACATGATACCTTATAAATATGTTAAATAACAAGAAAGAAAAAACCACTTGTGTCCCTATCTTGGGGTTCATTTCGCTTAACATCACCTGATCTGATCTTTTCTGCTTGTCCCAGACATATACTAGTTATTGAAAATAAGGGAAACCATGGGACCTATGTTTTCTTTGGGCTTGGCTTACTTCACTTAATATTATTTTTTCCAAGTCTTTCCATTTCCTAATAAATGTGGCAATGTCATTCTTTCTGATGGAGGCATAGAATTCCATTGTATGTATGTATGTGTATGTGTGTGTGTGTGTGTGTATAAAATCAAATTTTCTTGATCCATTCATCTACTGAGGGGCATCTGGGTTGGTTCCATATCTTAGCTATGGTGAATAATGCTGCAATAAACATAGTTGTGCTGGTAGCTTTAGTATGGTCTTGTTTGTGATCATTTGGGTAAATGACCAAAAGTGGGATTGCTGGATCATAGGGGAGCTCTATGTGAAGTCTTTTGAGAAATCTCCATACTACTTTCCAAAGTGGTTGAACAAGTTTACACTCCTACCAACAATGCAATAGGGTTCCCTTCTGTCCACATCCCCTCCAGCATCTGTTATTATTAGAGTTCTTGATTATAGCCATTCTAACTGGAGCTGCAGAGCTTCTGCATGGCGAAGAACATAGCTAAGAAGATCAATAGAAAGGCCACGGATTGGAAGAAGATCTTCACTAGCCATAAAATGGCCAAAGGTATCATATCTAAAATATACTTGGAACTCAAAAAATTAAATCCCCAACAACAAATCCTCAAAGAAACAACTGCAAGATAAATAAGTGGGCTAAAGACTTAAAGAGAAACTTCTCTGAAGAGGAAATAAAAATGGCCAATAGACACATGAAGAAATGCTCAACCTCCCTAGCCATAAAAGAAATGCAAATCAAAACAACGTTGAGATGTCTGAAAGCTTTGTTACCAACTCCATACCTAAGACAGAGAAGTAATGGAGGCAGTCTCCCAAACAAAATCTCAAAAGGGGTTATGCTCTTTATATAAGGAGTGTACCAAGCTCTGAGTAAGGCAAAAGGGAGGAGTCCCACCCATCATTTGCCATTCTCTAAGGTTAATTTAGTTAAGGTCTCCTTAAGGGTCTGATTTTTTTAACCTGTCCTGATC